CAGTTTCCCATGCCACACTGAAAAAAAAAAAAATGTGGAGAGGGAAGAGACATTATAGACATTGTAAAACTCACAGCCTGAAACGGGGAGACAACATCTCTTTGGCAACAGAGAGGAGCAAGGATCACAAAATGGTTTGTGTTGGAATGGACCTTAAAGGTCATTCTTTTCCAACCCCTTTGCCATGGGCAGGGATATCTTGCACTAGACCAGGTTGCTCAAAGCCCCATCCAACCTGGCCTTAAACATTTCTAGGGATGGGGCATCCACAGCTTCTCTGGGCAACCTGTGCCAGTGGCTCACCAACCTCACAGGGAAGACTTTCTTCCTTATATCTAACCTAAATCTACTCTTTCAGTTTGAAGCCATTCCCCCTTATCTTGTCACTACAGGCCCTTGTAAAAAAGTCCCTCTCCAGCTTTTTTCCAGGCTTCCTTCAGGAACTGGAAGCCAAAAATTGTCACCTCAAAGCCTTTTCCTTTCCAGACTGAGCAATCCCAACCCTCTCAGCCTTTCCTCACAGCAGAGGTGCTCCACCCCTTGGATCATCTTGGTGGCCTCCTCTGGCCTGGCTCCAGCAGCTCCCTGTCCCTCCTGTGCTGGAGCCCACGGCTGGATGCAATATTCCAGCTGGGATCCCAGCAGGGCAGAGCAGAGGGGCAGAATCCCCTGCCTGCCCTGACACAGCCCAGGACACGTTTGGCTCTCTGGGCTGCAGCACACGTAGCCAGGTTGTCAGCACCCAGGACATCCCTCTGGCTGTCCTGAGCAGCCCAGGCCCCTGCCAGGGGGCTCAGAGACCCTGGCACAGAGCCCAGAATGCCCCTGTGGTTTTGATTATGACCTGTGGAGCAAATTGCCAACCTTGTATGAAAATCAGCAAGCCACAACAGTTTAGGTAGAATACTAGTGAAGTTATCACGGGGTGGAAAAGTAGATTTTGGGGTTTCTGGAATGGGGGTTCAGGAGGCAAGATGGAGGGCTCTGGGCCTGTCCAGCCTTTCTCCTCCTTCTTCTTGGCCTCCACCTTCTGCTGTGATGTTGGCACTTACAGATTGGTTTAGAGTAGAAGCTCACTGTCTAACATGGGTGATAGTTATTGGAAAATAATTGTAAACATTGTATGTGTAGTTTTCAGTATAAAGACATAACACTGCCCCGGGGGCAGGCAGAGTGCCTGGAACTGTCCTGCTGGATGGACCTCGGCAGGGCAGAAGAAAATTTTTTATAGATAAGATACAATGAACAACCTTGAGACTGAGAAATGAAGAGCCCTGATTCCTTCTTCAAGCGCTGGGCTGGAAAAAGAGACTTTGAAACTTCTCTCAGGGTCACTCTGACCAGCATGAGATCCCAACACCAGGTCACATCCAGCCCCCATCCACCAGCACCCCCAAGTCCTTCAGGGCAGGGCTGCTCTTGATCTGTTCATCCCCAGCCTGTGCTGACACCAGGGTTTGACCCATCCCAGGTGCAGCACCTGCTCCTGGTCCTATTAAACCTCACGAGAGCACAATGGGCCCACTTCTCCAGCTTGTCCAGGTCCCTCTGGATGGCATCCTGTCCTCAACCACACCACCCAGCTTGGTGTCATCAGTGAATATGCTGAGGGTGCACTCAATGCCCCTCTCTATGTCAATAACAATGGTATTTAATAACACTGGTGCCAACAAGGACCCCTGGGAGACACCACTTGTCAGTGCTGTCCATCAGGACTTTGAACTGCTGATCACCACTGGATGCAACTGTCCAACCACTTTCTTATCCATCATTAAATCCACCTCTCTCCAGTTTTGGGAAAAAGGATGTTGTGGCTAACTGTGTCAAAGGCTTTACAGAAGTCCAGATAAATGACATCTGTAATCTTTCCCTTGTCCACCAATGTAGTCACTCCATCAAATAAATAATTTTCTCTTGTTTTTTCCTGTGCCCTTTGAGGCTACTCAGAACATCAGAGCACAGCATCAAGTACAACAAGCAAGAATTCCCCTCCACCCAACTTTTTCAAGCCTTGAGCTGCAGCCATGCCAACCATCTGAGCTGTCCTGAGAGCAGGACAGAGAATCTGCTCATGAAATAAATGAAAGGAAATTTGCTGTGTAACTGTGCTGGCAGGCTGCACTGCTTTTGCTGTTCAGACTCATTTGTCTTTACGGGTTATTGCTAGAACTGCACCTCAGCACACTTTGCTAATTTTCCCTGTGAGGAAAAATAACACAGTTCTTGGAATCCAAACGCAGAATTATTTTCACTCATTTATTTGTCCCCAATTTATAATTTACCCATCTAATTACAGCAATAATTAGGCTGCAGGATGTAATATAATATATGTGTTTCCACAGGTAGCTGCTGAAATTTTACCAGAGGTTATGCAGGGAACTGATGTGTGTGATAATGAACTTTCTGTGTTAGTCAGCCAAATCCTACACCCAAAAGGAAACATATATTGGAAATTCTCTCCCATACTTTTATGGCAGCTGTCTGCTCTCCCAGACAACTTCCATGCTGTGCAGGCTCAACAACACAATCTGTGTCTTATCTTTGTGCTGAATTCACTGTGTATTTGCAAAAACCCACATATAGTAGGTTTCTTTTTCTAGGATGAGCTTGGATTTCAAAATCAGAAATCTGGTAACTCTACAATTACTCAGAATGGTTGCAGGTTTCATACTATCTGCACACAATTATATTTTTCCTAATGATAACTCTGGTTAAGCAGATATAGTGATAACTATTGATATCTGGTTAAACAGATGCAACTGATATCAATACACTATTGATAGCAGGAAGTGTGATTTTGCATTTTCTTTGTTGCATTGTACAGGACAACGAATTAACTGTAACTATTTATATCAGGAAAGTATATGGAGGGTTTCTAGCACAACAGAAACATGCCATTGCAAGAAACACAGATATAAAATAGAAAAGAAGCAACTACAGTAGATAATTTCTACTAAATATTAAGGAAGGAAAAACAATAATGAAAGGTGATTTTTTTTCCTCCCTTTTAGCCTGCTGGTTAAAAAGTATCATCTTGAATCCCCTCCCAAATTCAACCACAATTCTCATTATATACATTCTGCCATATTTAAAGGAAGCTGGCTGAGAAAAATATAGTATAATACATTTAAAACAATAAAATAAACTGAGGCGTACTATTAAGAGAAGACAGATGTTGAGGACCTGTATGTGCTAGACCAGTTTTAGAGAGGTGTTTGCTATATATTCCTGCACTGAACACGTCAGGCTTGTTATTCTTTCACTAGCCACATTCCCTGGGTGGCAAATTATAGAAAATCACCTAACACAATTCACCTCACTCGCTTCAAATCTCAGTATGGCTTCTCTTTTTGTGCTCCTCATTCCTTTATTTTTTTTTTAATTCCGAAGGAATTCAAGGTTAGAATGGATACGGTTTTACTTCAAAAGCGTAAGGCGAAAGCAGCATTTTCAAAGTGCCGCACACAAAGGGATGCTCAGGGATGTTCGGGGATGTTGGGTTTTGCAGGCTGCTTGTTTTTGCTGAGCGCTGGCAGATGCTTTGGTGAGATCACAGCGCTCTCTAGTGCCTTCAGCGAGCACATGGAGAGAGCCTGAGCGCCTTTCCTTAAATAAACCACGGCACCAAGGACCCACCACAATCGCTTTGAAAAATACGTCGAATAAAATGGCTGTGTTAATTATCAGCTCATAACAGGATTGCCTTTTTTTTTGTTATTTTTTTTTCCCTACTCATGCCTGATTTAGCTACTAGGAAAAGAGGCAAACATATTAAAGACATACAAATATGCATAATTAGTACTGGCCATCTTAAGAATGTCAAGGAACATGTGTGATGCTTTTTCTACAGCATCAAAAACAATGTTGAAATATTAAACTGTATCAATAAGAAAATCGATGTTGCTTAAAAGAATGCAAACCCAAGAAATAGAGTGGAACAAATTTCAAATGCTACTTTAGGAATGGAGTGTGAGCCACCCAAAAAGCTTTATCAGAAATGCCAGGGTTTTTAAATAGAAGAATCTCTTATTGAAGATTATGACATATCAGGATACTGTTTTCACAGTCGTTCTTACAATCTTAATAGCACTTTCAAGTGAGGCAAACATGTAAAATATCACAAAATCCAGCATAATTACCAAGGTCAGCTCATTATCTGTGACTCAGAGGCAGTTAAAAGAAAATTCAGCAAGGAATAAGCTCTTGATGGAATATTAATATCTACTTTGAACATCCTGGCTTTTGAAATACCATATTTCTTTGACTGTTATGAAATTTCAGTTTTCCTGCCAAGAGCCTTTTTAAAGAATGGTAAAATACACACTACTTTCCCCCAGGACCAGGACATATATTCTTATGCCTGATTAGTTAGTCATTATTTTAAAAGTACACCTATACATCCTATCAAAAGAGATATTTTCCTCAGATGCAAATTAGTTTTTCAAAAACCCATCCATAGAACTCATTATTATCATGTATTTTAAAATATACATATGTTTATAAAAAATAGATCTTAAGAATTTAGCTGGATTTATAACATGTAGGTTTGGTGCTGGTAACAAAGTTTACCCCACCTGCCATTGAAATTATGATGCATTACACATTACATACTCATTTAGATGAGTAGGTTATGCTACTTTTATAACCTATGTTCATGCAAAAGTCAAGCTTTTTACAGAGACATTATAAGCCTCCTTTAGTGACTCAATTATATTTTGGTTTATATGGGCTACTTTGTGTTATTATAACGTCCCACCTTTTTTTTTTTTTTTTAATTCCCATGGGATCTTCACATGTTTAAAGTTGTACCTACCTGTGCAGAAGTAATTCTAAACTGGGCATTGTCAGGTTAAGGTGATGTAACCTCATGTGATCATACTGATTATTATAAAACAAAAGGTTTCATACAATATTACACAATTATACAGTACTGTGATTTATTCTGTTTATGATTCTGTAATGGCCCTCATTGTAGATAATACAAGAATCACCGTACTTACTTTTTAGATCTAGATTTCTGGCTCCTGCTGTGCTCTGTGTTGTGATTTTAGTGTCAATCTTTACAGTGTGTAGGTTGTTGGTATCCCTTGATATCATGACATTATGCCACTGGTTGTCATTCAGAGGTTTATTAGAACTTCCCTTGATGAGGTTGGCACCGTTTCCCAAGTCAAACACATAGTGTAAATACCTGGGAAAAGAGAAAAAATTGGAAAAGTTTCCTTTTTCTTTACATAGCAAGGGGACAATAATTAATGTGTCTAATATTTTCTATTTGCTTGTGCTCCTCAGCAGTGCTGGCTAAACCAGAGGACAACAATGAATGCCAGATGGGGAAGCAACTGTGATCCCGAGAAATTGCCACTCTTTTGGATGAGTTGAGGTGCAGTCCCAAGTTTCTGGAAAGCAACGAGTACTCCATGTACCAAGACATGCATACATACGTAGAGAGAGAGAACAAGAGGGAGGCTACAAACTAGCACTTCTTTGTGGTAAGCACCAGAGAAGTTATACCTATTATTTACTTTCATACATTTCAGCCATCTAGCTTCATCTGAAAGAAAGAGTCACAATAAAGCACATGAAGTTCAACAGGAAGAAACATTTATCCATCACATCTATCCAGTCAGAATCAAAAAAATAAAATATTTGCATCCTAAAATATCCCGTGTATTCCTCCTGCACACACATTTTGAATGGACTGGTTTTGCTGTTACGCTAATCCATACATACCCTTTCACTAATTCAACCACAATGAAATCATTTCCATCGCCACTGTTAAAAAGTATCAATCCATCCAGGGAGGTGGTTTTGAACTGGAAAAAAAGGTGCATAGATGTGTACGCTTGTAGCGTGGCCAGTGCAACATAACTTGCTTTTGTTTTAAAGGTTACAGGGTCTGCTATGATGTTCCTGAACCCGAATCTTGCATTTAGCTCACAATAATCGATGTCTCCATTTTTACATAAGTCAATGTATGCCATGCCATTAAATGTGAGACTCTGCAGATGCCCAATAAAATTAGAAGGCACAGAAGACAGGTAGCGCCGTTCTGTTATTATTCCTGTTTCTATGTTGTGGAACTCCAGCCGTGTGTGATCTCCAGCCATTTGACCTTTAAACAGCAACAAGAAAACACGTGTTAGTGTCTGAAAGGGGAGGTCAAAGAGCACATCATGTGATTAAGCATCTGCATCATTTCCACTCTCTTCAGAATGTGCAAGGCCAATTGTTGTCTCCAAAGGGAATTCTCCCAAATTGATCCTAATTACTGGTAAATCCAGAATCCTTTCCAAAGCGTTCAGTGCAGTTGGATAAGGCCAACAGAAAAATTTCTAAACTGAAACAGTTTACCAGAGTACATTAAACTGCCAACAAAATCCCTCACTTTAGTTACACCTAACCAGATGTGGGGTTTCACTATAAGCAAGTGCAATTACTTAACATGAGGAACACAAAGGCCAATCTCAGAGCTAAACCAACAATACCAGAGTCTCATGAAAGAGAAACAGAACAGCTTGAGGGATTTTATTCCATGTGTTTTGCTTCAATGTGCATGACTAGACTAGCAGTAGGAAGGATTCCTGTTTCAGCTGTCTTGGGTACATTAATGCCAGCCCTGCTGCAAAAAGCCCTGTGTGGCAAGGGTGGAGAGCGGCTTGAAAGAAACTGGCTTTGCACCATGGGGATAAACCATGGGAGAAGGGGCAGAGCCCAAGGGATGGCCAGAGCAGAAAGCCTGCAGGAAGAGCACATACCAGTGTTCTGTAATCCTGGAACCAACAAGGTACTTGCTTACATTGGAAAGGTGGCCAAAACAAACCCCACAGCTGCCTTTGAGTTCCCTCTGCAATGCCTGGACCACTGCAGAGCAAGAAGCCTGAAATCTGCTGACTGCAAAGCTAATCTGGAGGAAAGGATCAGCACTGCCAGAGTACACTGCATACAGGTCAGGTAAGTTTTTAAGCTAGTTATTAAATACCTTACCCAGCACATCAAAACTGTGTTCACTGAAGAGTTCCTTTTTCTGACAGAACACCAATTTTTTTTCCATGCTTATTTTAAAGAAGTAGGGCACTATTTTCACAGGGCTGATTCATGGTCACATTGTGCGGAAAAACACCTTCTTATTACTAATGAATTTCACCACTTAATGTACCTTTTGCAAACCATTTTGCAAGTTCCCCATTTCCTTAGCTGTTTCATGTCTCTTGTGGAATACAGAGAAAGTGAAGAGCAGAACTAGTCAGGCTGGAATAAATACTGGCATGAAACTGCTCTAATACAAATTCTCACAGTGGCAAAGCTGTTGACAAGCCAAGTTCCCTCTGTCCATCCCCAAATATTCTATTCCAAGAGAGAGTATGAGCACTGCCCCAGGCTGGACATGTCAGAAGTGGTGCACAAAGCCTGGAGGAGGCTGACGCAGCTGTACCTCTATAGGTGTCATAAGCAAGTGTCTGTGGACATGTGTGTGACAGGGAAAAGACAAGGGAAAGAGAAATGTCAATATCTGAGATTTTGCCCAGGGAGATGAATTCACGAGCAGGTTAAGCCGCAGCACTGAGATACAAGTACAGGCATCAGTGAAGTTACAGGGAAAATAGCTCTGTAAGTTTTAATGCCATTCAGGCACAAAAATTGCTCTAATAATTTATGATAAATATTTACAAGTAGCTTACTTAGCTTTGGGATGAGTTCTGTAGGAGAACTTGTCATTGAACACCACCTGCACTCACAGGGCTGAGCACCTTAAACCCCAGGGGCAGCCTTGATGTTCTTGTTTCTAAACATCAGTTCTGAATGTATTAAGCAAAAGTGGTTCTTCCATGCAGTAATGAGTCAGGGAGCTGTCTTGAAAAATGGCAAATGTGTAATTTTTGCTGGGACAAGAGCTGTATGTTGGATCACAGCCAAAGAGATGAGGATCAGGTTTCAGAGAGGAACATTATATATTCCAGTCTTGTATCCCTTCAGATGGCATTCCAATAATGTCATGGCAAAAATCCACCAAGCTTTGGCCTCTAGCACAATATCCCTACTACATTAAATGTATTTTTTTCTTGAGCATAGTAATAAAAAGTTCCAGAATCGGGGCTCACATCCCAACATTTCAGTTGTACAAACATGCAAACAGGACTTGAGATTTCACATAATTCTCCACAGGCTTTGTAAATGCAGCAACGAAGTAAAAAAGAATGTAGTTTGTACTTACAAGATTGAGTGATTGGGGATTTGTTGGTGGCTTTTTTTTTTTTTTATTTGGTCTGGTTTTGGTTGTTTTTTGGTTTTTTTTTTTTTTTTTTTTTTTAAGTTTGTCAGGTTTCAGGAAAAACATCATGCAAAGGGGCAATTGAATTCCTGTTCATAATCATAGGCTATTCTGTTACCCAAATTTAGTCAATTTCCAATAATTTTTATTTTCTATACAATCTTAGAAAACAAGACTTATTAGGGCTGGAAATATTTCAACTCTTCTGTGATGAGTAACTTCTTCAAAACCACTTGCATGGCTTCTAAAGAAAGCTAGTTATGACTGAATTATATTATGTATCCATGCACACATCATGCATTTGTCAAAGAGGACCAAGCACAACTCACAAATGAACCAGTGGTATTTTAAAATCTGTAAAAATTAGAAAGTCAGGCTGAATTATTTAATAGATTTTCCTGCAGCTTAAGTTTTCTGGATCTGATGGGAATTCTTTCCTACATGGCACAGGAAATGGAATCAAAAAAGGAAAACAACATGTGGAAGGAGAAAGCTGGGATTTTTAGCAGGAAGTCAGCTTACTTCCTTATTCTCCTCATAAAACGATAATAACTTTTCACATGAAAAATTAATGGGTTGTATTTTAACCAAATTTCTGATTGTTGGAACATCTGAAGAAAAGTTCGAAGCAGTTTAGAACAAGCATATTTTGATCCCATAAGGCAATGTTTTCGCTATGCTTTCAAGAAATTCAAAGCTGCTACACATTAAATTCTATTAGACACATTTGAAATTTAAACTTGTAAAGGCTTTTAAAACACTTGGTGTTGAAAAAAACCCCAAATAACCCCACCCCCTAAAAATAAAATGAAACAAAATTTCTCACCACTTACACAGCAACAAAGATTTACTTTGGAGGAAAAGTGACATTCATGGAACTAACAGATTGCCCATATTTAAAGTTCCCTCTGTTTCTTCTCATACAGCATTTTCCTCCTCACTGGTGGAGGAGGCCAAAGATTAGCTGCACAGATTCCTACAAGGAGTTTAGGAATTATAGGATGTCTTTTTTCCTCCAAAATATTGGGATGAGTTCCTCCTTTTGGATTAATGACATTAAACATTTGTGCACTATGCAAATGCAGACAAGTTCCAGCTTGAAGAACTGAGAGGGAATTCAAGTCAACTGGCCATTTTTGGATGTACATACTGGGTTGTGGAGAGAATACAAATGTTGCACCAGAAAGCTGGACCCAGGTTATGTAAGCTGCAGTATTTGTAAATTAGAAATCTGACATGAGGAGCTCAGGAATTGTGCATTTGGATCTTGCACTGGATTTTGATCTATACTATTTTCTCTATATTACAATCTGCCTTGAGTAGCAGTTGAAGCAGCAAGATTATAATATTTTTTGTTACACTTCCTCCTATATTATCAAAAAGAAAATAAATTATTAAGGCCATCTGTATTCTTGAGAAAATGACCCTAGGCATCATAACATACACAGACTTCAGTGCTGGAAGATATATTGGTAATTTCTGATTCTAGAAAATATGTTCTTGCAACTATATGAATTATTTTCCTACCAGTGACAAGACCCTCAGTGTTCTGTTGAGGTGAAAAGGGATTATTAAAGAAGTTACACTCCTCTTAAAAAAAAAAAAAAGGCAAAACATTTAAGTTGTTACCATTTTAACAAAGCTTAGAACCAATGATAAAAGTTGTCTAATGCTACACAAAACCAAAAGATAATTTTAAATAGCTAACAAAAAATTTAGGCACATTCTGCTGTGCAAGGAATCAGGGCCAGAAGCCAGACAACATGCATGTGAACATTGTCTTGTAGAGGGCAAAATAAATGTGTTCTCTAATCACATTTCTGATAATATAAATACAAAAACACATTTCTATCATCTGCTAGCATGCCTGCCATTTTTTTTTCTCCCACCCCAACTGCTATTTAAGTATTTGAGAAAAACATGCTGCCTAATATATAATTATTGAGGACAGCTGATGCAAGATTCAAATCACAGTAGAATATCCTTCAAATGTTTATTAAATTCTTTCTTCCAGCAGTGGCTTAGAGTTTAGCCCTAACAATGTGTTGCCAAAAGCATTTTGCTTGCCTTCTCATTAGTGATGTACTAAATCACTTCTCTCCAATTACTGTATAAAAACATTCATTTAAGTCAGCACGAAGGTTTTCATTAATTTCAATAGCAGCCTTAGAGCAACATAAATAGCAAGTGTAATAATACACTTCTTGTAGCAGCATTCTAAGATGCATAACATGAATTTTGAATCTTACCCAGTAAAAAGGAAAAAAAAACCCATGTTTCTCTCAAAGTAATTTAACTTCTGGTTTTTTTTTTTTTTTTTTTTTTATTGTTTTTGTTTTGCTTTGTGTTTCCCTCCCCCCCCAGCAAGACGGAATCATGGAATGCCAGTGCCACAGTACCTGTCACAGCCTGCTGGTCATCCACCATTAACTTTAAACCTTTTCCTCGCCGCACCACGCGCACTGTGTGCCACTCATTATCATTGAGGTTATAGCCAGCAAAAAGGGTTTCTGGGCCTTTGCCTGTAGGACATGCCAAACAGTCATTATGCAATCTTTAAAGCAGTTTACATGTGAACCTCACAGAGAAAGAGAGAAAACAGAGAGACTGGCTGGGCAAATGTTAAAACTCACCAAAAGTCACATCAAGCAAGAAAATTACCAAGTATAAGAAAAATATAGAGCTACTAAGTACTCTATACTACAGAACTATAAAATTAAAACACTTCTAATGTCTATTTAGCTATGTAAACACATTGTGTATGCACCAGGTTTTCATAAATAGGCACAGTCAACATGGATTTAATTATTCACTTTTCAATCTCATACGGGCCTTTAAGAAATAGGATTAGTGAGCCAAAAGAACTTCAAATATGCATTTACAAGACTGGATTTTAAAAATGCTCCTTTATTAAAAATAATTTGGTGGAAAACAAAAAGTGGTATGCGTGTGTGCATGTATTATATTTTTTTCATCTATATCAACATGTTTGTTTAGCTTTTTTTATTAGAACTTATCAGAACATCACCTATTACCTGATCTAGATGACTTGCTATTATTCAGATCCAGTACCTTCTGCTGTTAGCAGATCTTCGAACCATGCTTTCCTTTTTCATTTCATAGATATGGGTTGTTTTTTTTTTTTTTTTTAAATCTGCTATTTCTCAGCAGTACAGCAAACACTTTTTATGCAAATTCTGTATATAGCACAATGTACTTGTGACAACCAGAGTATTCACAAACCTAGGAAAAAGGATACCTTTAATGCCCAGGAAATGATTTCTCATAAGAAAAGGATTATGGATGTTGTGCCTTGCACTGTTGACCAAGAGATAAAGAAAAAGCCTGAGTTTTTACTGTCATTGATATGAATAGATGATAGACCAAGTGCTGCATTAATAGATCAAAACTCATGTGGTGACTGTCCAAAAGGCAAAGCTAATCTGCTATAAACAAATTGCATTCTTGTAAAACAGAGACCTCCCTGGCCTGTTTTTCAGTTTCTGTGGCAGAATAAATGCTGCTGATAAATAAAATCAATTAAATTCTGGACTCCTCTGTGCAAAAGAGAAACAGAGCTCCTGCAGCTGGTCCAGAGGAGGGCTACAAAGATGATCAAGGGACTGGAGCATCTCTCTGATGAGGAAAGGATGAAGGACTGGGGCTGTTCAGCCTTGAGAAGAGATGACTGAGAGGGAACCTCATCAGTGTCCATGAGTATCTACAGGGAGGGGCCAGAGGATGGACCAGGCTCTGCTCAGTGGTGCTGGGCAGTGGGACAAGGGGAAACAGGCAGGAGCTGAGGCTCAGGCAGTTCCATCTGAATGTCAGAAAGAAGTTCCTTACTGTGCAGGTGACACAGCACTGGAGCAGGTCATCCAGGTAGGCTGTGGATATTCCCCATCCATGGGGATATTCAAGAATATCTGGACACACTCCTGTGCTCTGGGATGAAACTGCCTGAGCTGGGAGGTTGGATCGGATGCCCCACTGTGGTTCTTTCCAGCATGTGATTCTGTATGAGAGACACCTTATAAAATAACTTTTGACCAGAAACATTGGGGTTACCCTGAGTCAGACCATTACCTCCATTGTGCCCTTCCAGGTGACTCTATCCCATGTGTCAGTCTTGCTCTGAAAGGGACATGCAACTAGCTCTGAAACTCTCCCACCTTTCTCTTGGGATTCTATTCCATCCAGCACAGGCTAACTGTGAAGGGTGAGTTCTGTTAATAAAATCAAAGCCTAAAATCAAAGCCTTTCTGACTTCAGAACTACGCAGAAAGAAAAGGACACTAAGATCTTGATGTAGCTGTTCAGCATATCGGACAGTTTTCATCTCGGATATTTTCCATCTTCTGTCAGCAATTTCTAAATTGCTGCTGGTTTATTGCCCTGCTTTTATATGCAACCTTTGCTATTTTGGGCATGCCAAGGGATCTCCAGGAACAAAAATGCAAAGCAAAGGCAGTGAGAGTCTCATAACACTGTTTTTCTGTGTCTGTGTTGACACCAAGCTAGCAAAGGTGTTCAAACCCAGCAGAAGCAGATGATTGGGGTCAACTACATGAATCATTCTGTTCCTTAAATGTTTACTTTCTTTGACAAGAGAAAGACCAGTTTTGCATAAAGCTTAAGTGAATAATATTATCTTTAAATGTGCTGATATAGATACAGTGACTAAAACCTTAAGCAATTTATTTTAAGCAGGTAAGTTGCTTAAATTGCTTCAGTGGAAGCAATTCTACCTAGATTTGGAGAACACAGATGGATTTTTTTTTTTTAAAAAAAAAAGCTGGAATAACATGAGAAAAATCTTAGTGAGAGTCATTAAGTCTGCCTAGGCACACACCATTTAATAATATCGTAAACATATTCCTACTTATTTGTTAGTCCAAACCCTTTTTTTTTTAAATTTTTAAAGTAGTTGAACCACTTAGTCTCCATTATCTTGCTTCATATCTCTAAAAGACCTAAAAGCATATGCAATTTTAATTTACCCTCACATTAACAACCCTCTGTAGTGCCTCTTACGTGCAAAGGTGTCTCAGTGTACGCTATTATCAAATCCAGTTTGGGCTGCTCACATTTACAGGCAAATCTATCTATTCTATTTTAATGGCTGGGGACTTGTAAACTCTTCCTGTTGTAAAATTAAATGTGTGCTTTCCACTAGCCTATTTCCCTTGCAAGAGTACTCAGAGCAAAAAATCAGGTCAGAACTCGGTGAAAGCTGCCTGTTCCCACTGCACACAATCCAAGAGAGGATAAAGGGGACCCCTGGTGAAAGGGCTGTGAAAAGGACAAACCTTGGTATGACACACCATGGGAGCAGTGCACTGAAAAGGGTCCCGGCCTTGGACAAACTACCCACCTGCATGGAAAAGAGACCTTTCCTTCATGGGGCTGATCTCTAACAGAGAAAAAGGGCTTTTGGTTTGTCACAGAGGGTACAAGAAACGACAAAATAGCCAGGCCCGGTGGCCAGGGATTGTGCATCTACCTGTCCCATCATGCTGCCTCTCTGCAAAGTAGGGCAGTTTTCCATGGCAGCTGAAGAGGGAGAAAAGAAAGGATGGATGCTCAACATTCCTGTGATAATGCAGTGCTTGGGCTGCTTCCTGACCAAGGACAGGCTTTTCCATGTGTCTTTTCACACAGAAAAGAAGCAAATATGATTATGAGCAGAGTATTCAGGAGAAAATTGTCTGAATGCTTAAACATAAAACCATGTAGGAATCCAGTGATGCCACAAGAATACCAGAACTGCAGAAGAAGAATATCTTGTTAAATTGCGTTGGTCAATCTGAAGCTTAGTTCATATTAGTACTTTCCTCACTGACTTTCAAATGTATTGAACTAAAATTAATTTAAATACCATATTGAGATCATACAGAGTCTTCTTCTGCCCTGTTTATAGTTCTTATGGTGAATCTACTATAAATTTATATCTAATAAATCATTGGCTCTCCAGTCTTGTTCTGACTTTACACTGATCAGACTCCACTTAAATCACACCGGCAGAAAGTGCTCTTAAATGAGTGTATTTATATAAGAATTGGTATACTTCCACTTTTTTTTTTTTTTTTTTTTTTTTGTCAAGGGGCATTCTGGGATTTTAAAAAAAAACGAATTGTTCTGTGTCTCCCACAAGAAGAAAAGCAAGAGCCCCAATAAAAAGAGTGTGTGTGCATAAATGTAAAATCTTGTTTTACATGGACTGCTACTATTTTTCCAAACTTATGTCCCTCCACTCCTATTTCTCATTCTGTCCTTCCCCTGGAACTCATCTGTCCCTTTCTAGACAGGCCATGGTTATTTTGCTTCACACACCCAGTCAGCACTGGCTCACTTTCTGAGCTCCTAATTCTCTCAGATACCAAAACCTAAATCATAAACCTTTTCTTTCTGAGACAAGATGCAAACTGGAAAATAAAAATCCATTAACTATCTCCTCTTGCTTAAGTATGACATTTTTAGCAACTTCTATGTTCAGCTCTTTCCCTATTTTTAAATACTTAAATAACTGCCAGATTTTATGCATCCTTAGAGAAAATGGAGAGTACCAAATAAAAGAATCACTGTCACTTTTATGGCTACCATGGTTTATTCAGAGTCCACCACGCCAGTAAAATTTCCACATCCACTTAAAAGTAGATAATTGCTTGTACAAACACCTTTTTTCAAAGCAAAATGCAGACTGTGCAGTCAGTCAATACAGGTACAAATCTTAGTGGTGCAATTCATCATGAGCTAAGAGACATAAAACCCTAAATATTCCCAGGTATATATTTACTTTGGCATCCAAAGCAGAGCTTACTTTGTTGTCAGCATCTCAGCAGGAACTTAACAGCCCTTCCAAAGTTAAAGGAAAAAAGTATGAATTTCCCAAAGGAAAAAAAAAAATCTCATTTACAGCACACTGAAGAGTCTAAATTTTCTCAGGAGATTCCTATTCTCTTTACTACCTTGTGAGGAGCTTATTCAGCCTAACTCAAGTGCTGAAGATTTGCTGAATTCCAACAAGTCAATCAATTAACTTGAATACGCACAACTTTTCCTCTTAGAGATATCTATCCTGTGGTACTTTACTTTTTAACCAACTACTTGAACTGAATTAATGATTTTGAAAGAAGATACTAGCTCTTGCATTGTACCAAAACATGTTTAAAAATGAGTTGTCTGAATTTGTTTCTCATAACGCAATCCACCACTACTACTAAGGCATAGGGCGAAATGCTTGGAGCATTCAATTCTGCCATCAAAATAGATATGAAATATAGAAAGAGGCACTATAAACAGAGATTAGCAAGGGAGACTGGGTGGTTCAGTGAATGCTGTACTAACCAGTGGAATCCAGGCAAATCACTACTATTTATTTATTAGTCAGCAAAAGAAAGATCAGTGGTTTCAGCCTGGTTTGTGAATAGAAAACTGTGTACACTACAGCTGTCAGTAACAAGACAAAAAGACATTTGGACAAGAAGACCAAAACCCTGGGACCAATTCAGTTAATAAAGAT